ACGCAGAATCGGCGCTGTCCCATCAACTCCCACACGATAATCGACGCTACAACTGGATTTAAAAGAGTATACCCCAGGCACCCGTGCTCTGCTACCAGAACAGCCCCCCCTTCCCTCTCGGCACGGAGGAGACGGGTCCAGAGGGAAGCGGACCCTGGACCTTTGGGGGCGTTCTCCTCCCCCGGGCCAGGTCTCCGTCCCGAGCCCGTCCTATCTTAACGGGCAAAGAACGGTAGAACATCAACTTGTACGCTGTCGGGGGCGCCTGTCCCAGGGCGGCTGGAAAGTTTCTACCCTTACGGTGGCACCGTAGGGGTCTAAACTTTCCAGCTGCCCAGGGGCAGGCGTCCCCGACGGCGGAAAATGTTATGTTATACCGTTCTTCGCCCGCTGACCATCTGACGGCCGAGGGAGGCCCGGGGAGGGCCCTGCAACATCCCGAGCTCTTTCTCACGCCGCAGCGCGGCAGAGCCTGTCCGCACGCCTGCTCGGGCACGCGGGACGACGGCATTGATTGCGCATTGCCGGGATGCAAGATGGGAAGGAAGGATAAGCGAGCAAGGACCGAGAACAAAAAACGTGTTCTTAGAACATGAACCGATGTGTTTTAACACAAACCAATATCGGCCAGAAATGTTCTAAGAACATTCTAGTGCGGACCACAAAAGGTCTTAGAGCACTCTTTGGAGGGCCTGTAGGCAAGCCGGGACGCCTCGCCACTGCCTGAGGGGGAAAAAAAAGAGGAGCGGCCGCGGGAGGACGGGGAAGGAGCTATAGAGCGCTCACGCAGCGGCAGCGGGGACCGCAGCGGGGCGCGTCACACACACACACACACACACACACACACACACACACACACACACACACACACACACACACACACACACACACACACACACACACACACACACACACACACACACACACACACACACACACACACACACACACACACACACACACACACACACACACACACACACACACACACACACACACACACACACACACACACCACACACACACACCACACACACACACACACACACACACACACACACACACACACACACACACACACACACACACACACACACACACACACACACACACACACACACACACACACACACACATGCAGAGTCCCAAGCTTCTCAAGGCGCGGTCCCTGGAGGTCCCGACCCCTTTCGCCAGTGCCGTTCTTTCATCCCGAGTCGCTTTCGACGGGCCCGCGACCCCGCGACGGCTCCCTGAGGCCGAAAACGGTCCAAAACCTCCCGTTTTGGTTTTGTCTCGGGGATCTTCTGACCCGGGTCAATCCAGACCCGCGTCTGTCAGGCCTTGCGGCATCCTAAGAGATCCTGCAAGAACCTGCACCCAAACCTGGGTCCATGCACCCTGCTACATCCTGAGGGATCCTGCAGGATCCTGCACCCAAACCCGGGCCCTGCAGGATCCTGCGAGATCCGGAACTCTGACTGACCCCCGCTGGCATTGCCCCCCGTCTCTGGAGCCCCGACTGTCCACGCCGCGAGCACGAGTTGTGGTCAGAACCCCTTCGCCTCACGGCGGCCCTCCCCTCGGGGGGGCGCGCGGGCGGCAGGGGGCCGCCCCGCCCGCGCCTGTGGGTGCAGCACCACTCCTGCCGGCGGGGGCGGGGCGGGGCGACGCTCCCCTGCCCTTCCAGGAAGGCCGAAACAATTGCTCCGGGACCTTGATTTACCAGCCTCGAACGTATCCCTATCCCTAAGATTGACACGCCAAAAGGCGATGACAATCTTAGGGATTCGCCCTCAAAAATAAGGGAATCCCTGAGATTGGCATCGTGATGAGGATGTGCCCAGCATAGGGATAGGGATATGTTCCAGGCTGGCAACTGATGCCCAGCAGTCCAGTGGAGGTCTCAAGCAGCCCAGGGAACTCGGTGGGTCTGGAGGACTCTCGCGTGGCAACCTGCCAGGTCAGGGTCGTGCCCCTGCGCGCGCGCGAAGAGCGCGGCGCTCGTGCCCCTGCGCGCGCCGCGCTCGTGCCGCGCAGGGGCACCGCGGCACGCTGGCGCGCGCGGCGCCAAGACTGGACAAGCGCGCTCGAAGACTCGCAGAGTAACTACTCGCAAATGGCCTGGATCCGCCGCGGGGGACTTGCGAGAAATGACATCGAAGCAGACATGTGTTTTTTTTTCGGACGTTCGCGAGTGGGCACTTTGCGAGTAGTGGAACGCGCTCGGTGAAAGACAAGGATAGCATCGAAAATCTCTGGAATCCGGAGGCTCTGGAGAATGTAACGGCCGCCGCGGCCGCCTGTGAGCGTTCCGGATCGGTCTTAAGAGCGAAGAGGCCCCCTGAGACGGCCCACAAGGCCTCCCAGTGTATCGCCAAAAAAACCCCAAGTGGCCAAAATCATTCATTTTCTGGTGGTGCAGGATTCGGCCGTTTGCTCACACTCGGGTTTCCGACTGCCCAAAAAGCCGCCGAAATGCCTCCCACGACATATCAACGAACAACCATGAAGCCTGTGACCCACAACCACTAGAGAATGCCCACAGAACCCCATCTCAGATCCCCCCCAACAACAAAACACGCGCCAGAAGAACCCGATGACAGTTCAACGTATCCCCCAGAACCGCGACGGTGCTCTTACACAGCTACACATCCGCTAAGAGCGCCCCAAGCGGGATAAAACCGGCGGATTCAACGGGATTCCGAAGCTTCGGACCAGTTTTTCGACCAGATATACCAGCGCCGATCTAGCATTGAACCTCACAGGAAATCCATACTAAATTCTGTATGTGATAATAAACAGACAGTGCCCCCAACCCTTTGGGAGGGGACCTAAGTTATGCTTGGGGACGGGGGGCATTGTCTGCACGTGCGTCGAACCTAACCGCCCAGATGTACGATCCCTAACGCGAAGACGAGGGCCCCAGTGAGGCCACGTCTTCATCTTGTGATTAGGGTCGGGGGTCCATTTATTCCCGATGGTGCAAATATCTGTCGGTGGCGCCGAGTGGAATCGAATGGCGAAGCGCCGCGGCGCAGCTTCGGCGCCGCCAAGCGGAGGCCTCGGCGCCCCGGGGAAACCCCAAACGCGGCCGCCGACGGCCTGTCTGAGCGCCTGCCGCGGCCGTGCACGCGGAAGGACTTCGGCGGCTGCGACAAGGGCGGATCGCACAGGGGGGACCATCACTTGATGGGCGGACTCCCCACCACCAGTGCCAAGAGGTAGGGGGGGCAAGAGAGGAGGAGGATACTGAATACTGAAACTCCGAAGAGGATGGGGCTCACGCCAGTCGAACGCAGGCCGCGCATGGCGCCTGCGCGCTCGCAGCGCCAAGCAACATTCGGCCGTCGATAGACAGCTCGGCATCAACCGTAAGAGAATATTGTGCCAACAGACCCGATGCGGCGTCGACCTTCCAAGGCTGTTGGGAGGATACCGTGCACGCTGCAAAATGCCCAGTGCGCGGCTCATACTGCGCGGTGGCCGCCAGGCGCTGGGATGCCTGCCCCGTGGACAGCCGCATCGGGCCCAGCGCGCCCCTCAAGGGCTGGCCACCGTGTCTACCCAGGCGCTGGGATACAGAGCCTCGGCTGGCTGTGTCAGGGCGCGGGCTTGCCGTCAGGCGTGCCCCTGTCCTGCTTGAACGGGTTGTACGCCTGAGCCCATGCCGCCACGACGTCGGCCTGAAGGGAACTGACGAGCTCCATGGCACCCTGCAGCGCCGACGACACGAGCTCCTCCTTGTCTCCCTTCACGGCCTCGAACTCCTGGAGCTCCTTCTCGTTCAGCTGGGTCTTCAGCTTGAGCGCTTCCTTCACCTCGCGCTCAATGTTGATCCACACGCGCATGGTCTCTACCAACTCGCTGCGCTCCTCCTTGATCTTCGCGATCTCGCCTTCGAGGAACGCCTGCTGGGCCTCCGCCGCGCTCACCGCCTCAGCCATGCGCAACGTCACCTCGTCGCGCTGCTGCTGGACGGCCTGCTCCGCCACGGACTTGGCCTCAGCCTTCACCTGCACTAGCTGCGCCTCCAGGCCCGCCACCTTGGCGGCAAGCTTGCGCGTCGCCTCTGTCTCGGTGTCCTGGCTCTTGAGCTTGATCGACAGGCCACTCTTGCCATCCTGGCTGCAGCCGCCAATGCCCTGGCCAACCCCCTTCCCGAGCGCGTCCTTGTTGAACTTCGCCTTCTCCTCCGTCGTGAACGGGTCAGTGACGCCACACTGGTCCAGCGACGCGAAGAAGGCCACGATGTCCTCCACCAGCTGCACGTCTGGATGGCCTTCCACGTTACGAGCCTTGCTTAGCCTCCCCACGCGCGCTGCCAGGGTCGATCCATTCTGCCCCGCCTGCCGCAGGGTGGACTTGGCAGTCGAGAGGGAGGGCTTGGTTCCCCCCGTCGCTTTGCCAATTGCTGCAAGCACCTCCTCCATGTGGGTCAGGAGCCTGCCGCCTCCGGAGCTGCCATCGCAGGCAGCCGCCCCGGCAGCAGCGCCCTGCGCTGCGCCCCGCGCCGCCGCCGTGACGAGCGTGGCCAGCTGCTTGCCCACGTACTCCGTAGCGAGAACCGCCGCGACGGCACCGAAGGCGCTGGCTGCCGTGGGGGACCGCGCCAGCAACGCCTCCACAGCCGTCGAGCCTCGCCCGACCAGCAGCGGCGAGGGAAGGGCAGAGACGTCCACCCCGAAGGGCCGTTCCACCCAACCCCGTACCCCCAACGAATGGAGGACCGCTTTCTGGTGGCCGCCGCCCGTGCTCCTGCCGAAATGGCTTGAGCCAAAATGGCTACGGAGAGGAGGAGGAGGAGGAGGAGGAGGAGGAGGAGGTGCGATCCTTCACGGCGTCGGACCTCAGGGTGCCATTAACTGCGCCCCGAGGTCCGACGCCCTGCCGAGTGCCGAGCCCACGGATGCTCACGAGCTCCACCCGCGAAGGCACGCTCGCTGGAACGGACGCGTGGACGACAGGGGCGACTGCGCCTTTTCCAGCACAGCAGGTCCGCCTCAGACCGGCGCGCCGGGCCCGCTCTCATACGCGTATCCCCGTCGAACGTCTTGCCTCACCAGCGCCTGCCCTTCCCCTTCCCTTCCGCCACATTCATGGTTTGCTCCACTCTTTGCAATCGGCCCCTCGCCACATCCATGAGTATCTGCGAATCCCTGACGGTGCAGGATGTTGTGTGTGCGCAATCAGCGTGCAGACTCAAGTTTGTTGCCAAGAACGTCAAAACCAACGTTTCAGCTCTACTAGAGGAAAAGAAACAGTCCTCCGAGCATCACCCTCCCCCTCCCCACTTCTCCTTACTACCCAGCCTCCTCCTCTAACTCTTCCATCCCTATCGACCTCTTCTGCCTGTCTTCGCGTACGCTCTGACCACGTTTCGACACGAATCCGGCTGGGGCAGCGCCCAACGGAAATCCAAGCTGAAGGAAGGAAAACCGCCAAACCCCCTTCACACTCTGCCCCCTGCCTCCCCTCCTCTTACCTACTACCTCCTACCCAACCCCTCCCCTCCCCCGAACCCCACCTACCCCGAGCCAGACGCCCAAAATCGGCTCACAGAGCCCCTCTCTGGCACGGTCCTCATGACCAGACTCTCGTCCGACCGCCCCGCTTCAGGAGCAGGGGGCGCAGGAGGCGTGTCGCAAGCCCACACGGCAGACCATAAACCGTGGCGCTCAGCGAGCGCGGGCCAACGTGCTCTGGCCAAGCTGGCTCACAAACGGCACACGTGCCAAAGAGTGGTAATAAAAGCACAGGCTGGGACTCGACCTCCAGGCTAGCTCTCCATGGCAATAGTCGGAGTGACGTAAGACTCGGGCTCGCAGGACTGGGGTTGCCCTGAAGGGGACATCCATGAACATGACAACCCAATATGGAAAATGGCGCGAGCTCCCGCTGCAAACATCCCACGAAAACCGGACCGTCAAAATCCAGGACGCCCTCGTCAAAAAGCGTCGGCACGCCCGAGTTCCTGCGTACTCGAGTCCCACGTTTCCCCGACTTAGGGAAGACAACAAGAGAAGGAAGCGAAGACCAGGGACCGCCCCTGCATCCCGCGCCAAAATGGCGTATGGTTCGGTGGCATCTCATTGGAGCCTCCCATACCATCTTATTGGCCCTTGCGGAACGACGCTAATCGACGCTAGTCGACGCTCATCGACGCTGAATCGACAATAATCGACGCTCACCGACGCTTAATCGGCGCTACCTCATCGACGCCCAAACGCTAATCGACGCCAAGGACGGAATTGCGAGGATACACCAGGCCCCGATGATTTGAAGCCGAAGCATGGGTTTCGGTATCGGACCTCTGGGACGAAGACGCGGAACGATGCCGCGCACGCCAAAAAAACCCGCCGTGCACGGCGACGACGTGCCCGCGGCGGAGGGCGCCGCTATACCAAGAGATGGCTGCAGGCCGAGAGCCCCCGGCCTACCCCGCCGCCGTTGCGTTTACCGCCGGCGCAACTCGTACAGTCAATCCGTATCAGGAGGATGCGCGATAAGGGTGCAAGGGCCTTGGGAGGTCATCTCGGAGCTTCTGGAGCGGGGCGCGGCCAACGAAAGTGGCCAAGGATGGACCGAGTAGGGAAGGATAAACGGGTACCCTCACGTCGGGCGTCCCCGTACAGGGGGATTTTGGACGAAAAATGAACAATAGCCAAAAAATGCCCACAGATAGTCAAAAAATGCTAAAACAAATCGTCCCCTGACTAAATTTTGATTATCTTTCAGTAGTCCTCCTTTAGAGGGACAGGCCCGACTTACGGGTACCCTTGGAAAGGTTGCCCATCCATACCATGCGGGTTGACTGCAGGTCGCCGACGTGGGCCCCCGCACTGAGGTGCTGCTGAGACCTGCGGCGCAGGGTCGCTCCTGCGTGCAGTGGACTGCTCCTACGGCCAACCCGAATCAGAAGGATGCGCGGAGAGGATGCAAAGGGCCGTGGGCGCCCATTTCGAATGTTGTCGAGCGGGGAGCGGCGAACGAAAGCGGCCACGAATGGACCGAGGAGCCAAGGATGCTAGGGTACCCTTGGGAGGGCTGGCCATCCTTCCTATGCGGGTTGACCATGACTGCCCTCGACAGGGTGCGGCGGATGGAGCGAACCCACCAGGGGGCCGAAACCCAGCATCGAAGACTACACAAGGTTTCGAACGAGGTTGGCCAGCTAAAGTCGATAAGCATGGGCCGAAGGGGCAAGGATGCAAGGGCACCCTGGGGAGGGTTGCCCATCCTGACCATGCGGGTCGACTGTAGGTCGCCGAGATTGGTCCCCGCACTGACTTGCTGCTGAGACCTGCGGCGCATGGTCGCTCTTATGCGTAGCCGGTTGCTCCTGCAGTTCCCTGGTCCACGCAGCCTTGCTTCTGCATAGACTGGTGGGGAGACTTGCGAGGCCTCAAGGCTAAGCCCTGGAACCTGGGAGCCCACTTTGCTGCGGCATCTCTCTCCACCGGGATCGATTGGCCAAGGCCCTTTTGCCCGAGGCAGCGCGAGACCGCCCGGGTCAATCCAGACCCGGGTCAGCAAAAAACCAAAAAACTGCAATGCAGGGAAAAGAAAAACTGCAACGCAGGTCCTCGCAAACCCGGGTCAGCCAATAGGCGCGGCCGCCACGCGGCCACAAGCGGCTCGCTAACCCGGGTCAGCCAGAGGGGGTCTTCGCAGGATCCTGCAGGATCTGGTGCTCTGGCTGACCCCCGTTTGCACTGACCCCCCGTTTGCCGGGAGCTTGGAGGGAGGGTGAATGCCAACATCTGTGATGACTCTTGGGTTTCCACTGGTCCTCCTCCTCCTCATCATCATCCTCATCATCCTGCTCCTCCTCCTCCCTCCTCCTCCGCATCCTCCTCCTCCTCCTCCTCCTCCCCCTCCTCCTCCTCCCTCCTCGTCCTCCTCCTCCTCCTCCTCCTCCTCCTCCTCCTCCTCCTCCTCCTCCTCCTCCTCCTCCTCCCCTCTCCTCCCTCCCCCTCCCTCTCCTCCTCCTCCTCCTCCTCCTCCTCCTCCACCTCCTCCTCCTCCACCTCCTCCTCCTTCTCCCGCCCCCGGCCCCGCCCTCGTGACGTACGCGGTGAGCTCCAGGAGCCCGAAGAGGCACACGCCCAGGAGGCACACGCCCGCGGCGCTCATCAGCGCGGCGGTGGGTCTGCGCCCCCGGCGGCCCCCCGGGCCGCGGCGGCCGCGCCTCCTCCGCCTCCTCCTCCTCCTCCTCCTCCTCCTCCTCCTCCGCTCCTCCTCCTCCTCCCTCCTCCTCCTCCTCCTCCTCCTCCTCCTCCTCCTCCTCCTCGTTCCCCATCCTCCTCCTCCTCCTCCTCCTCCTCCTCCTCCTCCTCCTCCTCGCGGGGGCCGGCGAGAGCTCAGCGGGCAGGGCCGGGAGGGCCCCCGGGAGCTGTCTTAGGTCGGGGCGTGTCACCCTACGGGCGGACTCAAAAACAAGAAACAAGAAGAGCACGAAGCATCGTCACCAGACTTAACCAGCCTCGAACGTATCCCTATCCCTAAGATTGACACGCCCAAAGGCGATGACAATCTCAGAGAGTAGCCCTCAAAAGATAAGGGAATCCCTAAGATTGGCATCGTGATGAGGCGATGCCGAACATAGGGATAGGGATATGTTCCAGGCTGGTAAACAGCGGGCAGGGCCGGGAGGGCCCCCGGGAGCTGTCTTAGGTCGGGTGTGTCATCCTACAGGTGGGCTCCAAAACAAGAACAATTGTTTGGTCTGCGGGTCGAGAGCGAACCTCTTCCGGTTAGAAGCTAGTCGGGCTACGCAAACCTCTACCAAAAACAAACACAAAAACAAGAAGAGCACGAAGCATCGTCACCAGACTATCGTTCTACGATTATTGGAGGTTCCTCCTGCAGAGGACCTGCCTCACTTCAGAGCTGTCCGAGCTGCGCCTCGAGGCATGGGAACACCACTGCAGGAGGTCGTTCCTTATGTTCGGCCTCTGGGGGCCCTCACTCGAATCGGGAATCGACGACAGAGTTGATGAACCCCAGAATTGGGTCTCCAAATCAAATCTACGAAAAGTACTCGGAATGTTCCGTAGATCTACGGAGCACTCGACGTCTTTGTCCTAGAATCTACGGAGAAGCAATTCTGGTGGAAATCCATCTTGTAGTCGATCCCCTACTCGACTTACCAGGCCTCGGGACCGTCACAAAGAAACGACTCTCGCCATCGCTCGGACGTCCATTCCCTGTGCTTTTTCGGTTTCGTGCGTGGTTTTACTCGCCAAATGATAAAGGATGCTCCTCGATGGCCCTCGCCGAGAAAAAATGCACACGTCCGAGCGTTTCCAGTGACTCGGGATGAAAAACTGGTCCCTGGAGAACGGGCCGAGACCTCTGGGAGTTGGCGCTATGACAGTGCTTGGCACCCAAGCATCGGCTCGGAAGGCCGACTGGAACTGTCGGACTATCCATTAGAATTCGATTACGGCAGCTTCGTATCGTGTCGACTCCAGCGTTGGTTCCTGACGCTGCGGGGATCGGTCAACCTTGATCGATCGGCCGTTTCCGAAACGCCGGATCCTTCAATGAGGGCCCGATTACGGGCCACGGGCGGCGTTCAACCAGCTGGGGGTCGTCACCAATCAACAAAGTGCGAAGCTACCGTATCGAGCTGCAGAACTATGTTCTGAACTGTCGAGCTGTAGGACACTATCGAACCATCAAACTGTCCATGAGAGGTCAACGATCCACCTGTCGCAATCTACCTAGCTCAACTAATGGAGTTGTGACAGTTGCGACACCTCGAGCGATACCCGCTCCAAGCTGTGGTTCTGGACAGCGTCGCTGAAACACACTGCGATAGTTGCGACAGTTCTCAGCGGGCTTCTGAGCGGAGACCGCCAGAAGCTTATGGACTCTGAGCCTCACATCCCTCAACAGCGACGGTGGAGCATAGAAATGCTCACAGCGTCGGCGTCCAGGAGAGGCTTCCAGGTCCCTGGGATCTAAGGAGAACGGCACTGGACCAAAAACGGCCCCCAGGAAGATATCGAGAACCTCAGGGCTGGCGACTCGAAACAAACGCAACGCACTGTCGGAGGTCTGGGATGCCATCCAGAAGGCACCCGAAAGCCTAATTCAAATTTGCTACGTTGGAGCTGGCTCCTCATCCTCCTCATCCTCCTCCGCCTCTTCATCTTCTTCACCATCATGACCACAACCACCAGTACCCATCATCACCACCAATATCGACATCCGATCACCATAACTACGATATCGACATCATCATCATCATCATCATCATCATCATCATCATCATCATCATCATCATCATCATCATCATCATCATCATCAGCATCACCATTACTACGATATTAATCGTCGTCCTCGTCATCACACTCGGCATCATCATCAGCAGTAAAAGAACCACAACCACCACCCTCATCATGATAATCATCAGCATCATCAGCATCAGCATCATTATCACCACCACCATCACCATCACCATCATCAGCAGTATCAGCATCAGCATCATCATCATCATCACCATCACCATAATCATCATTATCAACAGCATTAGCATCATCGGCAGCAGCATAATCAGCAGATTACTAGTAGTGATGATAATGTATTCATCATCGTATCCTCATCATCATCATCATCATCGTCAGCAGCATCAGTACAATCATCATCAGCGTCATCAACATCATCATCATCATCATCATCATCATCATCATCAGCATCATCATCATCATCATCATCATCATCATCATCATCGTCATCATCATAATCACAATCAACAGCAGCAGCAGCATCATTATCATCGGCATCATCAGCGTCATCATCGTCGTCATCATCATCAGCATGTCATCAACACCAGCATCATCAGCAGCAGCATCATCACCACCAGCATCATCATCAGCATCCTCATAATAATCAGCATGCTCATCATCATCAGCATAATCATCATTAACATCGTCATCATCGTCATTATCATCAGCAGCATCAGCATCACCATCGTCGGATTCATCAGCAGTAGCGGCATACTACTCATCATTATCGGCAGTATCGTCTTCATCATCAGCACGATCAACATTCGCATTACCATCAGCATCCTCATCATCGTTCTCCTCATCATCCTCATCACCAGCAGCATCATATTCAGCATCATCACCATCAGCATCATCGTCATCATCGTCATCAGTATCACCATCGTCGTAATCATCGTCATCATCATCCCAATAATCATCATCAGCAGCAGCATCAACAGCATCAGCAGCAGCAGCAGCATCAGCATCAGCAGCACCAGCATCACCATGATTATCATCATCGGCTCCCCCGATTCCTCGTCATCCTCCTCATCCGCCTCGTTCTCCCTCCTGCTCTCTTCCTCCGTATTCCGCCTCCCTTCTCCCATCTTCGTCCTTCCCCGACCGAGCGCCAGATCCGACTCAGGTCAGGAGCGAGCAGCCGTTGCTCCTTGGCGAAACTGCCCAGCGAGGCCCCCAATTGGGATTCCTTCCCCTAAGCCCCCATTAGCGGAAATACTTGTCGTGGAGCCATCAAATGGGAACATGTCTCATGTGCACCGCATTAAGGCTTCTGTCCCGCGGGCCCTTCAATTGGATGTCCTTCTGGTGGGGAGCCCCAACTGGGATTCTTCATCTGGGGCTCCCAGTCGGGACTACCTGTCATTGATCCGGAGATTGGGGATCAGACTCATGGGCACCCCAATCTGGATTCGTTCTCATGTGCCACCCACCTCAGCCGGAGACCTGGCGCAGCCGGTGGCCGGGAGCGACACCCTCCGGCTGCCACAGAGTGGGACACCCGCTGGCGCGACGCAGCTCCTGCGCGAAAACCCCCGCCCGCGCGGGCAGTCGCGGAAAAAAAAAAAAAAACGTCACCACGTCGTGCAGCGAGACCCCCGCAGGTGCGACGCAGCTGCGTTCCCCGCGCGAGCAGTTGCGGGCACGACTTATAGTGGACTTTCTGGGGAAGCGCCAACGAGCCGCGGCGCAGTGAATATGAATAAAAATCTGACCCCTGGGGGCGAAAAATTAAGCTGTGCACATCCACGGCGCCTCTGGCATCGGAGGAAGGGAGCCCGAAACTCCAAGACGCAGCGGCTAAGGAGACAGACCTTGCCCGCGCGAGCAGTGCCCCGTCGCGCAGCGGAGCGCCTCCCGAGTCGCAGAGCGAGACGAGACCCCCGCCGTCGGGAGCCCGCCCGCGTGTCATTCCTTCGCTTTTTTGTCCGAGGAGGAGGAGGAGGAGGAGGAGGAGGAGGCGGAGAAGGAGGAGGAGGAGGAGGAGGAGGAGAAGGAAGAGAGGGAGGAGGAGGAGAGGGAGGAGGAGGAAAAGGAGGGAGGGCGGGAGGGAGGGACCCCCGCCGGCGGGGCGCCTGACGCCCCCCCCCGTGTTTGGGGGAGCCGCGCGGCGGCAGAGGCGCGAGGGATGACGTCCCCCTCGGGCGCAAGGCGAGGCAGCGCTGCGCACCGCCGGGTGCCCCTCGGCGTCGTCGGAGGAGGGGAGGAGGAGGAGAAAAGGAGGAGGAGGAGGAGGTGGAGGAGGAGGTGGAGGAGGGGAGGAGGACAAGACAAGACAATCACCATGAGCTCCAACCGATGTCTCTGGAGAGAGCTGAGTGCACTATGCAATCCAGCTGTATCAAAATCACCACTGGGCAGAACAACGAATTGAATGCCAAGTGACTCTGGAGCGGCGAGCCTGATCAAGCCAGGAACGTGCCTAGAGGCTGGGCCTCGAGGCGACAGGACGGTACCCTACGGAGCCACGGTGGCTCCAGGGCACGTCCCCACGATCTCCGACGTGTGAGGGGACCGCGAGGGGCACTCCTGAATTTATCCCAGGGCAAGACCGAAGCCCGAGGAAGAGAAGCATGGGCTTGCAAACGCCGACGCAGTCGCTACACGACGGAGCCCACAGGGCCAGAACCCGCCTTGCAACAACCGAGATGGGCCCTTGCCAGCACAGTTGGCGACAAAAAGTTCAATGTGGAAAACGAATGCGGCTGCTTCACTACTCCCTCACTGCGCTCCGCTGGCTCAAGGAATAACTGCCCGAATTTCCGCCCTCAGTTTTAACCCCGATTTCCTTCTACATCTCTGCTCTGCTGATTATACCATTGCGTTGCCATCCCATACACCCGATCACTGTTCATCATCG